ACAAAAACCTGGCAACGCACTTGTATGTGCCTTTCTTGCTCATATTCGGCGTAGATTTTATTTTAGTTTGCCGACCTATACCATAAAAAATACTTTTTTGCATAAGTTATCTATACTGTCTATTATATTTATAAATCAATTGGAACCTTTTAAGGGGGCGAAATCATCTTAACTCTTCCCCCGCCCGGGGTGGGGTAAGAGGGAGTGTCAGACTCTTACTGACTAAAAACCATCTCACCCTGGGTGGGAGAAGTCTGTCAGTAAGATTATTGAAACTGATGGAAAATCAATTCAATGGGTCTGTTCTTATGCTCTTCAATGGCGCTAGACTAGCCAGGGATTGGTCCAAACACTAGTTGACAGAAGAAATCGTATAACAATAGCTGATTCTCTATTGGGCGAATTAAAGACAGCGCCATCTGTTGAGCAAAAAATACAGTAGCAGCCAAACCCATTATGGACCTATATTCTGGTCTATATGTTTAGGTCATTAACTAAATGTAAACAATGTTAGCATGGCTTTTTTATCTAAACGTTGTATGTAGAAATTTTTACAATCAGGTATTTACCTAACTGGATGCTAGCTTATAAACTAAATTTAAATAATATTTGTATGTATTCCATACGAGCTCTTTAATAGAAAAAGACATACCGACATTGTTTACTTTTAGTAAACCAATTAAACTGATAGACCATAGGTTTTTTAAATCAAGTAATTATTAATGCGGTAGTTTCCAACTAGTTAAATTCAATACTTTTTTCCAAATGTCAAAAACGGTACATTTCTATGAAATTTGTATGGAGAACTGAGTTATGACGTCATAGTTTTTTTGCGTCAAATAGTTTACTTATTTCTTAAAAACTAGCTAAAAAATATCTAAAATTCAGTGTATCGATCGATCGATGAATAAAAGTATAGTTATTTTTCAATATTTTATTTTATTGAAACATCGAATTAATTTATTTTTGACCTAGGAAACCACCCAATTATTTTTGTCTATCATGTATCAATATTAATCTTATACTGATAGTTTTACTTTAAATTTGACTAATTTTGCTGTTAACTAAATGATGCGATCATGGATTCGATGCCCGAATCTGGCAAAAATATCCAAAATTCAATGTTTATATAAGTAAGAGGCGTATTTTCATGCCCGATGTAAATTAATAATCGCTTTGCCCGAACGGGAATCGAACCCATGATCATGTGGCATTCACCTAGTCTTGTATGTATATAGACAATATGTTAATGTAAGTAGGTAGCGAAAAATGAAATAATGTTTTAAATTATATTATGGGAATCGCATAGCGATTGCATTGTTATTAGGAGTAAATATTTTATAACAAAGATATGTATTGCAACATATAATGTTTATATGAAATAAAACAGTTTTTAGTGGCACTTGGTTATTTCATGCTTCCTCTAAAGGCCCGCTAGCTTTCCCTTTTGCGTGGAATAATATCAAACATCGATACATTCTCACGAACTTTCACGTTTTTATAATATAATTAGGAAGGCCGGCCGCTCTAGGACTTGCGGCGGTATTCACCGCTTAGCATTTCATTGTAAAATTCAAAAGTCAAAAAGTAAATCAAATCAAAATCATTTATTCCAACTAAACCATAAATAGGTACTTTTGAAACGTCAAAATAGAATAGTAGTCAGTCAGTTTGTTCGTCAGTGAAGCTAGGTGCTTGTTCCAAATTGTAAATACGGACTCTTGTATTCATAAAATACATAATTCTGTCCTAGCTCGAAATATTCAAAAAGTCTCTCTAGTCGGATTTCATAATGAAGAGGCAATTTTTCCATTTTCCAACATATTTGTCTTTGACTAGACGAACAGGTTTATTTAGCTCATGGCGGGCTCAAAAAGTAACGATAATTGTGAAACTTACAAAAATGCATATTATATCTCTGTCTGTTTTCACTTATGAGAAGCAGTTTTCACGAAATAAATTAAGCGTATTTTTTTTCTAATACCTAATCAAAGTAATCAACCATGAATCACCATATCTACCAAATCACCATATCCACCAAATCACCATATCCACCAAATCACCATACCCACCAAATCACCATATCCACCAAATCACCATAAATGCATATTTGCCAACGCATTTATTGATGGGCATCAATAAATGCGTTGGCAAATATGCATTTATGGTATATAAAGAAATCAGCTAGACGGGAGGCAACACATTCTTCAAGGGCATTTTCATTGTCTGTCAGGTAGGTATTGAATTATTTTCCCGACTAGAAATTAATAAAATTTCGCAGAAAGTAAAAGTCTGTTGGCGCTAGATCTGGTGAGTAGGTACGGTGGAGAACTTCTCCCCAGCTCTTGTAGCTTAGAGACCGTCTGATGTGCAGTATTATGAGCCGAAGGATTGACCGAAGCTGGTTGGAGACTTGCGAGCTTCACCATCGTTGTGTTCAGATCCTCACAGTACATACATACCTATCTGGAGGAATGTCCATCTTTTTTGGTAAAAAGCTGAGATGCTTTACACACTGTAAGGATGGAAGAAACGAAAGATGTTGTAGGTACATGAATACAGACTGTCATTTATTCAGAGAGCACTTCATTATAGGTATACTATTTCAAGTTTCATACGTAGTGTAGTGTATAGTTTCATAAGAAGTATTACATTCATAAATGTAACATAGTAGATGTAGATGCTTCATACGGTAGAACACTAAGAAAAAAGAACATTTATAGCATTTTTTGGATCCTAAACCAGAGCCCTACCAACTTGCCGAGCACCTATGATCGTCAAACAGGATCCATTACTCGCCACAAGTAACGATGGGGTTCAGAATTTCTTGCAAGAAGATGCCTTGCGTACCTTGCAGTTCGCAAGGCACGTCTTGAGGTGCACAGCGCGTTGAGGTGTAGGAGGGACGGCGGGGTCGCGGGGTCGGTGGGGGCGCGGGCCGGGGGCCGGGCACCGCTGCGGCACGTGCGGGAAGTGCTTCAGTAGCCGCAGCCTGCTGGCGGAGCACCACAACGTGCACTCGGGGGCGCGGCCCTACCGCTGCACACTCTGCCACAAGGCCTTCGCCTCCAAGTACACGCACCAGGCACATCTCAAGACACATGCGGTCAGTAAGAGAGCAGTGCTTCTGATACTATGTTTTCCTAAAATTAAAATCAAAGTTAACCTCACTCAAAAGTATACAAAATGGATTTCTAAGAGCCTTAAAAACGCAATAAAAACTAAAAGAAATCTACGATTTAAATACTACTCTAAACCTAAAAGATTAGATGAGACATAAAATCCCTAAAAGATTCCACAGGCTATGATCAAAAAGTATGACCACTATAATCATAAAATTCATAGACCCTGCTACTATCCCAACTCTCGTACATCTAATTAATTAGTCACTATCAACAGGCGTGTTCCCGGACAACAAGATATCAGTAATTAAACCAATTAAAAGAAAGGGAATCAAAAAAATATTGACAATTATAGACCAATATTGTTTTGCTACTTATACTCGCAAATATTTACGAAAAAAATTGCATTCCAGGCTTACCATTTTTATTGAAAGATTTCGAATCCTAAGAAAAGAACAATATAGATATCAAAATAATTAATCGACAACCATGGCGGCATTTAATTTGATAAACCAAGCTTCTAAAAATATTGACTGCATAATTCCAAACAACTGTTATTTTCTTTGATATGTCTAAGGCCTTTGATTTTGTTTCTCATGACTTAATCCTGAAAATATGAGAAAAATATGGACTACGCGGCAAAGCAAATGGACGGATAAAAAGTTTCTTACAAAACGATCACAATTTGTAGAAATCAACGTAGATAAAACTAAACAAAGCAAACTTGCATATAAATCTAACTTGGGTCACAAAAAATACACAGGCGTTTCTCAGGGAAGTATTTTAGGTCCTCTACTATTCCTATTATACATTAAAAACCTAAATGGAAGATACAAATTATCCTTGCATACTTTTCGCAGATAATGTGTCAGTCATAATATCAAAGAATAACGAATATTACAACCAAGAAATAAATAACACTGTCAACAAAGATATGAGATAGTTGAATGGAGAATAATAACTTAAAACCTAATATAATAATGAGTTTCCTTTGATTTTAATCAGCATGAAACGCACTTTCTGTAGGTACAACTTTGATAATTGTAGGTTTTTAGTTTTTGAGAAAATCGAATTAGAGTGTCTAGGTAGGTAGCGAGTGGCTCGATTTATTTGCTGTCCAGTGTATATTCTTAACCATATCAAAAACTGTCATTGTTAAAATGTATTTATCCATATGTTCCCAGGTTCGACCCCGTCCGTTCAAATGCAATCAATGCGGCAAATCGTTCCTCACACAACAAAATCTCAATCAACATGAAAAGACTCATTCCGGGATCAAAGATTTCATCTGCAATATATGCAGTAAGTACTTTTACTAGCCCTATTATTATATGTATACACCTGAAGGTAAGCAATCGGCGCCGCCCATGGACACCCGCAACGCCAGAGGAGTTAAGAACGCGTTGCCTTCCTTTAAGGGATTGGAGGAGGGGAAGGCCTGGACCTCCGGTAACCTCACTCACACGGCGAAACACAGCGCTGTGGTTGTTTCACGCCGATTTTCTGTGAGGCTTCATTGGTATTCACCATACCCGAGGGAAATGTGGGCGAGCCATGCTGCGGCACGAATGGCTCGGCTCGCCCGGAATGATACCACGGCCTTACAGAAAACTGGCGTGAAACAACCACAGCGCTGTATTTCGTCGTGTGAGTGAGGTTACCGGAGACCCATACCTTTCCCCCTCCCCCCATCCCTTCCCAATCCTTAAATATCGGAAAACTTTATCCCTAAAACGTCGGCAATGCACTCGTAACTCCTTTGGTGTTGCGGTTGTCCATGGGCGGATTTCTTACCACTAGATAATCCGTCTGCTTGTTTGCCGACATATGTATGTCATAAAAAGTCATAAAATAGCATTCACATTAACATTAAAGAAGATGACTGGCATTGTAGACGAGATTAGTCATGAATTGCAGCGTTTTTTCTATGAATTCGTGACTTTAAAACACACTCCATCCAAAACATTAAAAATATTGCCTCCGCTTCCAGACAAAGCATTCAGTACTCAGCACAACCTGGAAGTGCACGGCGTGGTCCACTCGGGGAACAAGGCCTTCGTCTGCACCGACTGTGGGAAGGCCTTCGCGCGCAGGGCAGAGCTCAGGGACCATATGCGGATACATACTGGTATGGAAACAAGATTTTACTTCTAAACTACAAAAGAGATTGGAGTTCCTAGTTGATAAAACTCCAACTATTTTTCATTTCATTGGGTCGGGTAGTTTTTGAGTGAGAAAGCGATGTCCCTGTCGGAACTATAGATATAGGGACCCCCCCCCCCCTTGTTGCAGGCGAGCGTCCGTTCTCGTGCGAGGAGTGCGGCGCGAGGTTCACTCAGCGCTCGAACCTGCACTCCCACCGCCGCGCCACGCACTACAACGACACCAGGCACCACTGTACCCTCTGTCCCAAGAAGTTCAAGCGGAGGAGGTGCGTATTTACTCACTTACTTAATTTACCACCGCCACTCTACACGCGGGTGTGATATACCCTCTGCTACATTGTAATGTATCAACTGCTGAGCGCTTGTGACCTATCTACACCTTTTTACTTATAATACCACTAGCTATTCTCGCTCGGTTTTACCCGCTGCTCGGCTCCATTTAATCGTAGCGTGATGTTTTATAGCCTATAGGACTCAGGAACATTGTAGCTATCTATCAGTGAAAGAATTTTGGTAATCCGACCAGCGGTTCCAAGGATTACCCCCTACATACAAACTTAAAAATTTTACCTCTTTATAATATTAGTATGGATTGGGTAGAGCCTATTGCTTACCATCAGGTAATCGGTCAGCTCGTTTGCAGACCTATCTCATAGAAAAACAAGTGGACTCTTGTGGTGATATCTAACAAGACGAAATTCTGTAGAAGAATCGTTTGCTGCATAAAGAAATATTTAGAAGCTGATGATGATGATGATATCTGGTCCCAGGTTACTAGAGTACCACATAAAGGCGACGCACACGGGCGAGCGTCCCCTGAAGTGCAACGTGTGCCAACTGTCCTTCGTGTACCCCGAGCATTACAAGAAACATGTCCGCATACACTCCGGGGAGAGGCCCTACGTCTGCGAGGTAACTATACTGTTATAGGGCTTCTTAAGGGGGAGGAAAGATCTACAAAGTACTTCTGGGACCCTGGATAGGGCGAGAGGGAGTGTCAGACTCTTACTGACTTGAGACACCGCGGCCTCGGCCTAGAGCAAGAGAAGGAACGAAATAACCTACTAATTCATAGATCAGGAGCTGAAACTGTGTTTTTTCACTCAGCAAGCGTTTTAGTTTGATGATTTTTCACACAAAAATAGATTCGTACTGACTAAGTTCTACCTCATTCCTTCTTCTGCTAACACAACGTGTGATGTAAAAAAACTAAAACTATAAATGGCATATAAAATAAATATTATATCGTGATGGCCCGAAGGTTAAGGCGCCCGCTTCCCGCGCATAAGGAGCTAAGTTTGAAACCTGACAAGCACCAATATGACTTTTTCCGTGTCATATGTTGATTCTTTGTTCATTTAGACACTACTGACAAACGGTGGAGGAAAACATCGTGAGGAAACCTGGACTTACAAATTACTTATTAAAAGTTTGTCGCTAATCCGCCTTGAGTAAAACAAAGTTCAAACTCTATCCGTGTGAGAAGAGGCCTTTGCTCAGCAGTGAGCACTTAAAGGCTGATGATGTTCGGACCGAGCACCTAGCTTCACTGACGAACAGACTGACAGACTATAATAATATTCCATTTTGACTTGGACTTGTAATAATTCCCCAGATTTGCGGCAAATCGTTCAACTCTCGCGACAACCGAAACACGCATCGCTTCGTGCACAGCGACAAGAAACCTTACGAGTGCGTCGCCTGCGGGGCTGGGTACATGAGGAAACAACTGCTCTACGCCCATATGAATACCAGCGTAAGCCTTACAAAACTTGCATATACTACATAGCACTTTGTTATCTCGTAGGACGGCAACGACCTGATGGTAAGCAATCAGCGCCGCCCATGGACCGACGTACGAGTTGCGACTGCGTTGCCGACCTTTTGGGGATTAGGCCTCCGGTAACCTCAATTACACGGCGAAACACAACGTTGTGATTGTTTCACGCCGGTTTTCTGTGAGGCCGTGGTATCACTCCGGTCAAAAGTCGGAAGCATAACTCTCCCGCACTTAATATAAAAAATGGTATAAAAGTCACTTTCTCTGTCCCTATTACCTATGTACGCTTAAATCTTTAAAACTGCGCAACAGATTTGATGCAGTTTTTAATTGAAAGTGTGATTGAAGAGGAAGGTTTATAATTATGTATAATAACATCCCTTAACTAGTGGGGAAATTTAGTATTACCATTAAGCCGGGGCGGGTCGCTGGTACTACAATATCTGCAATACTTATGAACCTAGATCGATCCACCTTTCAATGCATATCACTTATTAATTTTAGCCATTAGTCGTTTTAGACATCATTACATAATCTGTTTTTATTTCCACAGGGTCACCTGGCGGAGTCCATCGTTGTCAATCAACCTAGAGTCATCAAAGTTACGGAAAATGTTCGTATATTTATAAATATTAACACGTTACTGAGGGTCAGGCTGCACTGTTGGCCCAGTGGCTTGACTATAGGCTGCTGTACAACGTGTCGGTAGCTCGATTCCCGCACGGAACAATTGGGTAGTTTTCTAGGTCAAAAATATTGAAAAATGACTATAATTTTATTTATTGGTCTGTCAGTACACAACATTTTTGATATTTTTTAGCTAATTTTAAGAAATATGTGCGCTAAAATACTAGGTATGTCGATTTAATTTGGAGTTTTATACAAATTTCATAAAGAGTATTGAATTTGACTAGTTGGATACTACCGTATTTCTTGATGACATCCACAAATCGTTGCTCCGGGTCTGGGTGTGATGCGTATGTGACATTGTATGCTTGGAAACGCACCCACGACACCACAGAAACACCTAATATGGAGTAACTGTTTCAAAACATGATTTTGATTTTAAAGTATGATTGTAGTTTTTAATTAAAGTCCTTTTTCTTTTCCCAGGGAACTAGTTCGCATGCAACGGATATAACTGACCTAGACACAAAAACCAGTAAATTTGATGCGGTAAGTTGGCATGGCAATATTTTGTTTGGCCTTTACAGGAACCAGTAAACGTGGTATACCTAGGAGTTGAATGAATGTCTTGGTGAAAATAAATAAAAATCACTAAAATGAAGAAAAACGTAACATAATATAAACTGACGAAGTTGACATTACGATTGGGCTTTGTCAAAACGTTTTTTAGTTAGTAGGTAAGACTCTGACACCCCCTCCCGACCCTGGGCGGGAGAAGTCATTTGATGATTTTCCCTTTACAAAAAGGGTCTAATTGAAATAAAGGCTTTTTTTTTACTTGACTTTTCAAAATTAATTATTTTGACTTATCCGTAATGCTATGACAATTTTTACAGATATTCGAGGCACAGACTGAATTGGAGGCTAGCATCAAGTCCGGTGAGTATTTTTGTTATTGCATCGGTCGGCTAACGAGCGTCCGTACTAACTGAAGGTAAGCAATCGGCGGTGGTACCCTACAGTATTCTCATCCTCACAGAATAACGGCGTGAAACAACGTCGTAGTTCGCCGTGTGACTGAGCTTACCGGAGGCCCTTCGATAGGCCGCCGATTGCTTACCATCAGGCAACAAGGTTTACCGACCTATCCCATTAAAAATATAATGACTAACTACCTATTTTACTATCCGTAATTAGTATTATAAAACCTTTTTTTTTATATTTTCAGTGAAATCAGAAGCTGACGTGAATTTAGAAGATGCCAAATTCTATATTACTGAAGATAAGAAATTAATATTGCAGGATAGTGGTGAGTTATAATGTTGTCAGTAATATATGACGGAGTCTGGAACTATGGCTCGTGTACTGTGCTAGTATAGCTTATACCAACGTCGTGGTGGCTCGGAGGTTAAGGCGCTTCTCATGCATGGGGTAAGGGAACGAACCCTGACAAGTACCAATGTGACATTTTCCGAGTTATATGTACTAGCTATGACTATTCAGGCATACATACGGTGAAAGTAAACATCGTAGAGAAACCTGGACTTGTATAATTTCTAAGTTTGAAATCGCCAATCCGCCTTGAGCAAGGATGGTGATTAAGGCTCAAACCTTCTCCGTATGAGAAGAGGCCTTTGCTCAGCAGTAGACACTTTAGGCTGATGATGTGATACAGCGATATCCTTATTCTGGTCTCTCTAACTGCACAAAAGTCTCTCCGTTGTAATGAAGTGTTTATCTCAGACTCAGAATCGGGTATGAAGGTTTATTTGTTTGATTTAATATTTTATTATGTTTCAGATAAAACGACATTGAATTTAATACAAGAAGGAGACGAGTCTACGCTTTTAACTATACGTAAGTCTTAACTGTATTATTTTAAGGTTGATTTTTCTTAATTTTTTCTGTTATAAAATTGATTACAATTCAATTTAAAAAAGTGAAAAGTGAGTGACTTATTTAAATCTATATTTGTTGCAGATAACATAGGAGAGAGGGCCGACGCGACAATTTTAGAAGCTGTCAATGCTGACCAATTGTCTGAACAGACTGAAGTAAGTTTTATCCGTACAAACATGTAATACTAGTTACTGTCGCGCGGTTTCACCCGCTGCTTGTTTCTATTATTCTACAAAACTTGAGGGTGTGGACCACTTTATTATAGACAATATTTCCGTTCTGGTACTAAATTTCTTCACTATTTAATGGATGCTAGTATACACATAAACCTTCCTCTTCAATCACTCAATCTATAAAAAACCGCCTCAAAATCTGTTGCGTAAAGATGTAAGCATACATAGGGATATAGGGACAGAGAAAGCGACTTTGTTTTATATTATGTACTTAGTGGTGGTAATGTCCTTCAACGTGTTCATATATTTCTATTTCAGATCGTAGCTAATGATGAGAATGGAGGCATGGTGCGACTGATCCAAATCAAATTACCTGACGGTAACAACGGATGGGTGGCAATCAATCGCTGAAACATTTCTGCCGGGCTAAGGACTCTGCCAAACACCGGTCAATGGGAACTGTTAATTTATATTTTAATGCCCATCTTTACATACGTCTTTACGTCTACATAATCACATAATTTCGTCTATGTATTTGTCCTATCTAACTGACGGACTAAATTGATAGATATTTAATTTTAATATCCTGTTGTCCCCTAGTATAAGCCAAATTATAGACAAAAATATCTGTGCGTTAGTCTGTCTAAATCTCTAAAACGGCCGAACTGACATAGTTAAGTTTAATTTTTAAACATACGTGGAACTCTAGGAAAAGTTTAAAGCAGTGAGAAATTATGAAAATGTGAGTAAAATAATAAAAACGCGTGTTACCACGCCGTCGCTGTACGCCAGCGTGATACAACCACAGCGTTGTGTTTTGCCTTATGATTGATGTTACTAGAGGCCCCAATCCTTCCCCATCCCCCCCATCCCCAATCCTCAAATCCCTACCACAAAAACCTGGCAACGCACTTGTATGTGCCTTTCTTGCTCATATTCGGCGTAGATTTTATTTTAGTTTGCCGACCTATACCATAAAAAATACTTTTTTGCATAAGTTATCTATACTGTCTATTATATTTATAAATCAATTGGAACCTTTTAAGGGGGCGAAATCATCTTAACTCTTCCCCCGCCCGGGGTGGGGTAAGAGGGAGTGTCAGACTCTTACTGACTAAAAACCATCTCACCCTGGGTGGGAGAAGTCTGTCAGTAAGATTATTGAAACTGATGGAAAATCAATTCAATGGGTCTGTTCTTATGCTCTTCAATGGCGCTAGACTAGCCAGGGATTGGTCCAAACACTAGTTGACAGAAGAAATCGTATAACAATAGCTGATTCTCTATTGGGCGAATTAAAGACAGCGCCATCTGTTGAGCAAAAAATACAGTAGCAGCCAAACCCATTATGGACCTATATTCTGGTCTATATGTTTAGGTCATTAACTAAATGTAAACAATGTTAGCATGGCTTTTTTATCTAAACGTTGTATGTAGAAATTTTTACAATCAGGTATTTACCTAACTGGATGCTAGCTTATAAACTAAATTTAAATAATATTTGTATGTATTCCATACGAGCTCTTTAATAGAAAAAGACATACCGACATTGTTTACTTTTAGTAAACCAATTAAACTGATAGACCATAGGTTTTTTAAATCAAGTAATTATTAATGCGGTAGTTTCCAACTAGTTAAATTCAATACTTTTTTCCAAATGTCAAAAACGGTACATTTCTATGAAATTTGTATGGAGAACTGAGTTATGACGTCATAGTTTTTTTTGCGTCAAATAGTTTACTTATTTCTTAAAAACTAGCTAAAAATATCTAAAATTCAGTGTATCGATCGATCGATGAATAAAAGTATAGTTATTTTTCAATATTTTATTTTATTGAAACATCGAATTAATTTATTTTTGACCTAGGAAACCACCCAATTATTTTTGTCTATCATGTATCAATATTAATCTTATACTGATAGTTTTACTTTAAATTTGACTAATTTTGCTGTTAACTAAATGATGCGATCATGGATTCGATGCCCGAATCTGGCAAAAATATCCAAAATTCAATGTTTATATAAGTAAGAGGCGTATTTTCATGCCCGATGTAAATTAATAATCGCTTTGCCCGAACGGGAATCGAACCCATGATCATGTGGCATTCACCTAGTCTTGTATGTATATAGACAATATGTTAATGTAAGTAGGTAGCGAAAAATGAAATAATGTTTTAAATTATATTATGGGAATCGCATAGCGATTGCATTGTTATTAGGAGTAAATATTTTATAACAAAGATATGTATTGCAACATATAATGTTTATATGAAATAAAACAGTTTTTAGTGGCACTTGGTTATTTCATGCTTCCTCTAAAGGCCCGCTAGCTTTCCCTTTGGCGTGGAATAATATCAAACATCGATACATTCTCACGAACTTTCACGTTTTTATAATATAATTAGGAAGGCCGGCCGCTCTAGGACTTGCGGCGGTATTCACCGCTTAGCATTTCATTGTAAAATTCAAAAGTCAAAAAGTAAATCAAATCAAAATCATTTATTCCAACTAAACCATAAATAGGTACTTTTGAAACGTCAAAATAGAATAGTAGTCAGTCAGTTTGTTCGTCAGTGAAGCTAGGTGCTTGTTCCAAATTGTAAATACGGACTCTTGTATTCATAAAATACATAATTCTGTCCTAGCTCGAAATATTCAAAAAGTCTCTCTAGTCGGATTTCATAATGAAGAGGCAATTTTTCCATTTTCCAACATATTTGTCTTTGACTAGACGAACAGGTTTATTTAGCTCATGGCGGGCTCAAAAAGTAACGATAATTGTGAAACTTACAAAAATGCATATTATATCTCTGTCTGTTTTCACTTATGAGAAGCAGTTTTCACGAAATAAATTAAGCGTATTTTTTTTCTAATACCTAATCAAAGTAATCAACCATGAATCACCATATCTACCAAATCACCATATCCACCAAATCACCATATCCACCAAATCACCATAAATGCATATTTGCCAACGCATTTATTGATGGGCATCAATAAATGCGTTGGCAAATATGCATTTATGGTATATAAAGAAATCAGCTAGACGGGAGGCAACACATTCTTCAAGGGCATTTTCATTGTCTGTCAGGTAGGTATTGAATTATTTTCCCGACTAGAAATTAATAAAATTTCGCAGAAAGTAAAAGTCTGTTGGCGCTAGATCTGGTGAGTAGGTACGGTGGAGAACTTCTCCCCAGCTCTTGTAGCTTAGAGACCGTCTGATGTGCAGTATTATGAGCCGAAGGATTGACCGAAGCTGGTTGGAGACTTGCGAGCTTCACCATCGTTGTGTTCAGATCCTCACAGTACATACATACCTATCTGGAGGAATGTCCATCTTTTTTGGTAAAAAGCTGAGATGCTTTACACACTGTAAGGATGGAAGAAACGAAAGATGTTGTAGGTACATGAATACAGACTGTCATTTATTCAGAGAGCACTTCATTATAGGTATACTATTTCAAGTTTCATACGTAGTGTAGTGTATAGTTTCATAAGAAGTATTACATTCATAAATGTAACATAGTAGATGTAGATGCTTCATACGGTAGAACACTAAGAAAAAAGAACATTTATAGCATTTTTTGGATCCTAAACCAGAGCCCTACCAACTTGCCGAGCACCTATGATCGTCAAACAGGATCCATTACTCGCCACAAGTAACGATGGGGTTCAGAATTTCTTGCAAGAAGATGCCTTGCGTACCTTGCAGTTCGCAAGGCACGTCTTGAGGTGCACAGCGCGTTGAGGTGTAGGAGGGACGGCGGGGTCGCGGGGTCGGTGGGGGCGCGGGCCGGGGGCCGGGCACCGCTGCGGCACGTGCGGGAAGTGCTTCAGTAGCCGCAGCCTGCTGGCGGAGCACCACAACGTGCACTCGGGGGCGCGGCCCTACCGCTGCACACTCTGCCACAAGGCCTTCGCCTCCAAGTACACGCACCAGGCACATCTCAAGACACATGCGGTCAGTAAGAGAGCAGTGCTTCTGATACTATGTTTTCCTAAAATTAAAATCAAAGTTAACCTCACTCAAAGTATACAAAATGGATTTCTAAGAGCCTTAAAAACGCAATAAAAACTAAAAGAAATCTACGATTTAAATACTACTCTAAACCTAAAAGATTAGATGAGACATAAAATCCCTAAAAGATTCCACAGGCTATGATCAAAAAGTATGACCACTATAATCATAAAATTCATAGACCCTGCTACTATCCCAACTCTCGTACATCTAATTAATTAGTCACTATCAACAGGCGTGTTCCCGGACAACAAGATATCAGTAATTAAACCAATTAAAAGAAAGGGAATCAAAAAAATATTGACAATTATAGACCAATATTGTTTTGCTACTTATACTCGCAAATATTTACGAAAAAAATTGCATTCCAGGCTTACCATTTTTATTGAAAGATTTCGAATCCTAAGAAAAGAACAATATAGATATCAAAATAATTAATCGACAACCATGGCGGCATTTAATTTGATAAACCAAGCTTCTAAAAATATTGACTGCATAATTCCAAACAACTGTTATTTTCTTTGATATGTCTAAGGCCTTTGATTTTGTTTCTCATGACTTAATCCTGAAAATATGAGAAAAATATGGACTACGCGGCAAAGCAAATGGACGGATAAAAAGTTTCTTACAAAACGATCACAATTTGTAGAAATCAACGTAGATAAAACTAAACAAAGCAAACTTGCATATAAATCTAACTTGGGTCACAAAAAATACACAGGCGTTTCTCAGGGAAGTATTTTAGGTCCTCTACTATTCCTATTATACATTAAAAACCTAAATGGAAGATACAAATTATCCTTGCATACTTTTCGCAGATAATGTGTCAGTCATAATATCAAAGAATAACGAATATTACAACCAAGAAATAAATAACACTGTCAACAAAGATATGAGATAGTTGAATGGAGAATAATAACTTAAAACCTAATATAATAATGAGTTTCCTTTGATTTTAATCAGCATGAAACGCACTTTCTGTAGGTACAACTTTGATAATTGTAGGTTTTTAGTTTTTGAGAAAATCGAATTAGAGTGTCTAGGTAGGTAGCGAGTGGCTCGATTTATTTGCTGTCCAGTGTATATTCTTAACCATATCAAAAACTGTCATTGTTAAAATGTATTTATCCATATGTTCCCAGGTTCGACCCCGTCCGTTCAAATGCAATCAATGCGGCAAATCGTTCCTCACACAACAAAATCTCAATCAACATGAAAAGACTCATTCCGGGATCAAAGATTTCATCTGCAATATATGCAGTAAGTACTTTTACTAGCCCTATTATTATATGTATACACCTGAAGGTAAGCAATCGGCGCCGCCCATGGACACCCGCAACGCCAGAGGAGTTAAGAACGCGTTGCCTTCCTTTAAGGGATTGGAGGAGGG